CTCCTTCCAGTGGAAGAACCACCACTTCCATCTCCTCTGAGAGATTGGACAGTCCCACCACAAGTGCTTCATATCTTCATACAACCACCCACACCTTTCACATTTTGGGTCTACATCCAGCATACCTCTGCTTCTTAACCACGTTGCAGTAGGCACTACCAGATGTGTCTGCATCCACAACAGGGAGGCCAGCTTTTGGGCTGGGATCTCTTTAAGTTGCTTCCACAGGCCTTTAAGCTCTGCTTCTTTGGGTGGTACTCTGTTTGGAACTGTTTTCTTCCACCTTGATGTCAAGTTCTCCACCAGGTTTGTCTTCTTTGCAGGATTCATGTGTGAGATGTCTGCGATGCGGTTCAAACCTATAACTACCTCCCCTGCCCTTTCCCAGCCCTAGGCTTCAGGATCAACCCTGAGGGCATTGTAACTTCTACCTCTCCCTACCACAACAAGAGGGTCTAGGGATCTGCTGCCCCTCGCGTTCCCTGATCGTCCTTCTCTCATTCTACATTATGTCAAACCACTCAGCCCGTACCTCTTTATAGTACCGAAACTTGCCAGACTAGCAGCCTCAGGGGATTCCCTCTCGAACACTTCAAGTATACACTTCCCTTCCACTGTATCGTGCCAGTTCTGAAGTTTGTAAAACCTCTCATTAGTGCCGTTGTCCGATCTCAGCCAGGTTTCGGGAGGGTTTACACCCTCTGGGCCCAAAAGGGCTTTCCATTCTACAGGCAAGGCTTCTCTTATATGCATGACTCGTTTCTCTTGCGCCGACAGTTGTCCCAGCTTTCCCTTCAGTACGGCAGAATCGTGCCACTGGTTTGTCTCTTCATTCCACAAATCCTTGACTGTTGAGACTCCCCTTTGGATCCACTTGTATCCAAAGCAGCCAACACCTCTTCTCGCCGTAAGGGGGGTCCCTGTACAGTCCGTGATTCTGGGGTTATCAAAGATATGTTGCTCCAAAACTTGATGTTTTGAGGACGGTGCAGCTCGAGCCGTTGGCATTATCGTTCTCCAGGCCTGCAGGATTTCTCTCCATAAATTTGACTTTATCCTTTTCCTCGTGAACACCTCTGACATTATTGCCACCCCGACATCACTCCCCCTGCTAAGGCTCCACTCGTTCATTAGGATCTCTTCTGCTAACAAACACCAGTTCGCGTCTTGATCTGCCTCAACTGCCTTCAGGACCCAGTCGCATAAGAGTAGTTTGTTTTGCGTTCGAGGGTCTGTCAAGTTCAGCCCACCCTCCTCTCTTGCCAGGCATAGCGTATCCCAGGCCACTTTCACAATTTGAGCCCTCTCCTGGTTTTGCGAAAGGCTTTCAGAGGAAGAGTCTGGCTACTTTCTTAACTTCCTTAAGAAATTCCTCAGGGATATGTCTGATTCGTGCTACAAACCAAAGTAGTGGAAACGCTGAGACGTTCAGGGCTAGGGCTCGGCCTATGAGAGATAGGTGCCTTGCTTCCCCCCAACTCTCAATCCTGTTCTTTACCCTCTTCTGTAGAATTAATCCCTGCGAGGAGGAACAATCCTCCATTGCTATCATTACACCCAGAAACCTCTCTGCTTCTCTCTTCCCAACCCTTTTCATACCCCAGTTTACGCGTAGCTGTTGCGAGGCTGAGAGGAGGTAAATCGACTTATCCCAGTTCACCGCCGCTTCAGATAACTCTGCGTAGATAGCCAGACAATTCTTCAAGGCAGACAGCGCACTTTCCTTGTTTGCACATACCGCCATAAGGTCATCTGCAAGCGCTTTGACCTTACACTCTTTCTCTGCGGTAAGCTTCAGTCCTCTGATCTCCTCATTAGATCTGATGCTGTTAACTAAAACTTCCATCTGCAAGACAAAAAGTAGAGGGGCTATAGGGCATCCCTGCCTGAGCGAGCGGCACAGCGGAAACTCTGCAGAACACTTTCCGTTCACCATGACCGCCGCTGTGGAGTAGGCGTACAGCACCTTGATCCATCGGCAAAAGCAAATTCCAAAACCCATAGCTTTCAGGGAGGTCATAACGAAGGTCCAGTTCACCCTGTCATAGGCCTTTTCCAGGTCTAGCAGGAGAACTGCCATCTCTATATCCTCTTCGTTCACTACCTCTAACACTTCGATGGCGGTCACTATATTTTCAAAGATCGACCTACCTCTAACAAACGCTCCTTGTTCCTTGCCGACTAATAATGGGAGAGTTGCGCCCAACCTGGTGGCTAGAGACTTAGCTAGAATCTTATAACTCACGTTAAGTAGGGAGATGGGACGCCAGTTTTTAACCAGTGACTTGTCTCCTTTCTTAAACATGAGCGTTGTAATACCTCTCGTCATAGTAGATCCTAACTTCCCTCCCACGAGAATCTCGTTGTACATCTGCAGAAGGTCAGTCTCTAGCGTGGTCCAGCACACTTCGTAAAACTCAATTGGAAGGCCATAATCTCCTGGGGCTTTGCCCCTGGCCATACCTTTGACTGTGTGTCTCAACTCCTCTTCCGTTAGCCGTCTGTCCAGCATATGTCTCATGTGATCTGACAACTTCGCTTGCAGGTTATCCCATAGATTCGTGAAGGATGACATGTCGGTGTCGATGCTCTCCCCTTGGCTCCTGGTTGTGAGGATATCCTGAAAGTAGGCCATAGCGTATTCACTTATGTTGTCAAGGGAGGTAGCTATTGGCATGCTGGGAAACAGCGGATGCGCCAGTTCAGACATTACTACTTGTTTCCTCTGCGGTAGGAGTTTCTTGAATGACTCTTTGGTAATTCTGTCTGAGGTGACTATTCCTTTCACTGAAAGGATCTGCTTCCACCTTTTTTCCTTCCTGATCTGAAATTCCTCCCACTCCTTAAGCCTTTTCATCCGCTCCTCACTCCAAACCGCCTCCGAGACAGGGTGTCCTGTCATGTTCCTTTCGGTTTCCTCCACTCTTAGCCTTAATCTTCGTTCCTCGCTGTTTCTCTGGTTTGCCGCTATCATTGAGAACGTGTCAAGCTTCCTTGATATAATCCTCAGGCCCGCATCCATCCATTCAGCAGTTGATTCAAACTCTGTCCTCGCTTCTCTCCACGACAACCAGAAGGTTTCCACCCACTGTTTTCATCCCTCATCCTCTCAATTCTGCGTATTTAGCTTAAATAATTCTGGCCCCCGCTCAATCTTTTGTCCCATTGTAATGTCCATTACAACCGTCTTATGATCGGACATCGAAGCATTCTGCGCTTCCACCTTGATTGCTAGTCTACTGGCTCCTTCCGACAGTAGGAAAAAAACCAATCTTCTCTTTGTATTTGGTGCTGTTGTGGGGTTTCCAAACCAGGTAAACCCCGGAACGCCTGGGTTTCTGTCTCTAAATATATCCTTCAGGACCCACGCTTCTCTATATCTCAGAAGGTAGTTTCTGTCTTTCTTCATGCCGTCGTCTTTCTCTGAGTCTAGGCCTGGAGAAGAGACCTGATTCCAGTCACCCCCAATTACCAGGAATTCCGCATTAGGGAAGACTTTTGGCAGGGTCTAAAAAAACTCCAGTCATGGTTGTGGGTCATTTGGAGCGTAGATCGAGGCAAATACCCAACTTTCCTGACCAATGCCAAGTTTAACCCAGCTCAAGCGACCCCACAGGTCCGAGTCGAAGTCAATGAGTTCTGCATTCAGGTCTCTGTGGATAAGCACTGCGACACCGCCTTTACTTCCTCTTGCTGGGGACCATAACTGAGGGCCGGTCCACCAGTCTTTTAGCTCCGCCAACTTTTTCTCTGACAGCTTCGTTTCTTGTATTAGCAGGACATCCACTCGTTTGTCATGCGCCCAGGATTTTAACCTCGTCCCCTTGCAGCGTCCTCCTGAGTCCCCTAGCCCATTCACGTTCCACGTAACTATTCTGCATCTACCCATGGAGCTGAGTACCTAAGGTAGTAGGTTGGATACCTCCCTCCCCTTGAATTGGGACGAACATAGTCTCCTTCCATCATTCGCAGAGAAATTCTGCGAGGAACTGGGAGGTGAGGTTTCGCCTCTTTGGCAGCTTCTGGTCCAGTTGGACCAAGAAAGATGTCGGAACGCCAGGTTCAACCATGATCATAGATAGGATCGAAGTCTCCCCGTTTGCAAAGCAACTGATGAGAACACATTCAAGTCCCACTCTGCTCAGTCCTGCCCACTGCTCCTGGTTAAGCCTGGCATCTATCAGGGGAATCGAGTATCTAATCTTCCGCCCGCCTGGTAGGTCCACCAACACCTTGGGCATCATATCATCTGGGAAGATTCTATACTGAAAGCGATCGCTGTACATTCTCCGCATTTGCGTTGCGATCACCTCAGGGGACGCCAACCCTTGAAGAGGCACAGCCGGTAGAACCATCGTACCATTTTGTGCCTTCAGACCAATAACATAGACATTCTGTGCATTGAGGGCACACACAAATGGGAGAAGGTAGGCTTCCTCCTGATCCCTCTCTCCTCTCCCCACAGTTACCACTCCCTCTGGTATATCCGTGACCGAATCTCCCTCTTGGTCTCTATCCCCCATAGCTGCTAAGTTCGACTGTCTTTCTGGTTGCGTGGTTGAGCCTTCGGAATCCGCTCCACTGTGGTCGGCTGTAACACTTCTTTCCTTTCGCTTCCCCAGCATATTCGGGTCTTCCACATCCATCCCCGGATCCGGCACTTGCATACGCACGACCACTTCAGATGGGACTAGTTCCTCTCTCCTTCTGGGGGTCGGTTGAGGTAGGGTGCTTCCTCCTCCAGGTTGTGTTCCTCCCTGGGGAGCCTGAGCGTTTTGAAGAAGTCCCAAGCTGCCTTGGCATGAGCCTTGAAGTCCTTGACCGAGGTACATACTACCAGGGAGTCCTGGTTGAGGTAATGCTTCCCCTGCTACCTGCCACGCGTATGAGTTTTGCCAAATGCCCGCGGCCTGCTGTTGCTGCCACTGAAAAGCCGTAGGGCGTAAAGGCTCCGTATCGAGGTTGGATGCTACCCCCGCCCTGAGGATTCTCGGATCGGAGCATGTTGTTGCTCGGGACATGTCCCGGTTCCCCCGACTGCCCATTCACGCCATGCTCGGTGAATCTCCCTCTTCCGCTTGGGGCCACGGATCTTGATAGAGTCCCTTGATGAGTTCCTTGTACGTTATTTTCAGCAACGTCTCTGGCTGCCTCCTGGATCCTGTGATGTCTTGGTGACAAGCGTTCCCTTGCCTTCTCCCGTTGAAGTTATCCGTCGTGTCTCCCTCTTCTTGTTCGTGGTTGCTCTGCTCCGCTAATCTTGGGCAGACGTTCGTAGCCGTATGAAACCACCATTTGCACCTCTCGCACCAGGGAGTGTGTTTACACACCACTTTGATCGTGACAATCTCCCCGTCCTCAAGCTTCATCGGTAATTCCGGTACAAAGTTAGCTTCTGCTTCTTTGACCAGATCATATTTCCTGTTCATGAATTTTGGCCTAGTCTTATCCGGTTCTGGATTATAGGCCTTGATCACCTTTCCCATCGCTTTCTCCAGCATGTCTTGCATGTGAAATACCGCCTTTAGCACAACCACCCAAAACTTGGTTTCGTCATCTACCCTCCTCCTTTCCTCCAACTCCTTCCTCGTCATCCACGGTTTGAAGAGTATAGGATATGATACCGAGCCTATCGACACCTTATCCCACCCCTTCGCTATCATCCATTGAGCGATTTCCTCCGTCATGGCAATGTATGAGACCATGTTGGGACCCTCTCCATGAATTCTTCCTCTTTGCACGCCTCTATCGAAAATCCGTTGTCTAATCCACCCGTTCTCATAGGCACGGATCAAATCCTCTCTGATTTTTAACGACAGATCCCGCGCGGCTCCTTGGAAGATAACCGTGACAGTTCTCTTTTTAATCCAAGCAGTGGTCATCTTGCCTAACGATTCGTTGACTTTGAAGACCCTCACTCCATTTTCGACTACAAACTCCCCATGGTTGAGGCCTTCCGGCATCACTCCATCTTCAAAGCATTTCGTCAGTAGGATTTTGACTCTTGCTTCCTCCGTTAGCCCTACATCTTTGTCTCTTGGAGGAGATCGCCCTGCTCTGTTTGAGCCTTCTCCTTGTTGCTGCTGTGGCTGCGCTTGACTTCTCTCCATAGTGGTAGGTTACTGCTAGCTTACGTATCTTCACTCCCCTCGTTTTACCCACTAACTCTCATGTAACTTAAGTCCCCTCTCCCTTACTTCTTCTACTCGGATAGTACGCGTTCACGCTTACCTTCCCGACTGTGCGCGTCAGTGGTGAGCGCCGGATATGGCGCGCACCCGTCTTCACTGTGACCAACTTGTGATAAACATCAAAATTCCAGTGAATTCTCCCGATACACCATAGCTACCTCCCTACGATAGGTCGGCTTAGGTTCATGGATGTCCCCCGTCTCTGCGGGCGGTTTCTCGGTATTGCCGAGTAGGACCCATGTACCAGTCCTCCGCGGTATCGTGTCGGTACCGTCGAGGCAAGCCGAACCAGCGCCTACGCTGGTAGCGCTAAACCAGCGCCGTCCGCCGCGCCCCCCCCGGAAAAAACCGCCAATCCGTGTGTGGTAATAAGGCTTGGATCCCACATGGCGCTTTTAACAAAAAGTCGGAAAAGCCCCTCGAAAGGAGGGTCCTTGCCTTTTGGTCCGTAAAATTTTTTTTGGACTCCACAGGCCCGTCCTTCGAGGGGCTTTTGCAAAAATCCTGCCGAAATATGTTGGTCCATTTGCGTCGGACCCAATCGCGCTGCGGTAAACGAAAAAAAAAAAAAAAAAACTTTGTTTTTTTGGTGCTCGCTGCTTTTAGGGAACAGGGTAGGGGGATGCCTGCTTTTGCGAAACAGGTGTCGTTTCGCGGCGGGCGTCGCGGCCTGGTCGACACGATGCAAATAGTGAGTAGAAACAGGCGAAATTGTTTCGGGTCCCGAAAGCCCCGGTGCATTGTGGGATCCGAATTTTGACCTAAAATTGCCTCACTAACAATAGTGGGATCCAAGCCTAAGAATGAGCAGAGTTTCTGGTAAAAAAAAAGAAAAAGAAAAAAAAAACATTTTCCAGAGTGATTTTCAAGAGGTAGTGCAGCCACAGCAACTCAAGTCGATTTTGGGCAGCCAATTCATGGATTAGGGCATACTGGCACTAGCACTATCTTAAATGCATCTGACCTCATTTCGGCCGAACCTCTATGCATCTGGCTGCAATTACGTCCAGAAATAAGTAAAAAAGTGCCAGTGCGAGTATGCACTTAGTGGAGCGGTGCCGTTCTCTTGAAGCGAGGCCCTATGCCCTCACCAGATGTGAAAACCACAGAAGCGCGGCCCCTCTTGACTCTTGATGGGCCTAGTATCTGGCTGGCTGTGTGGATAGGACGTACCGCCTCCCTCCTAAACAATAACGGTATTGCGTGTGTTTGCTGGCGTGTGCGTGTGCGTGTCTGTGCACGTGTGCAGGTCCTGTGGTTGCCACTGTGTCTGTGTGTGTGTGTGTGTGTGTGCGAGAGAGAGAGAGAGAGAGAGAGAGAGAGAGAGAGAGAGAGAGATGCCGCGGGGAATCATGAGCTGTATGCTGCTCTAGATTGATGCTGGAAGTCGCCAAGACTCGGAACTTGTTAATTTCGTCGGAGGAGCGGTGAACAGCTCGGCGCGAAAGAGGTTAGCCGGGATTTTATCCTTTCCTCCTCCTCCTCCTCCTCCTCGTCCTCCTCCCTCCTTCGCCCTCGGACTCTGCATCTTCCGACATCCTGGCGCAATACCCATCTTCACCTGATTGGCCCATTTCTCTTGTCCCATGGCGACTTCCCCTGGCGCTGTCCTTCCCTCGCAATACCCATCTTGAGTTCTTATAAGCTCGGGCTGCCTTTGCTCCCGTCACGGCGCACCTCCCCCGCCCTGCTTGCGTGCCTGCCATTACTAGTATTATTATTTTCGATCTCTCTCAAGGATATCGTTGGTCGAGTCCAGACGAGCAGCTTATGCCAAGTTTTGGTTATTTGTGTTTACCTGTCACACACACACACACAC